AATTACTTATGATTGACGATAACTGACAACTACCAACTGCAACTCTGATGAGTTGATTGACTATGAAGAAATAAAGCAAGAGAAGGATAATGATGATTGACGGACGAGCTCTGTCTAGGACATGTAGAATATTCACCACTTTACATCATGAGCTAGCTAAAGCTAAGCCTATACTTTGATTATTTCTACAGTAGAATATTGACATCGAAACAATTATTCGATTGATTGGATCCATGTGGCTATATTTATTAATATATCGCCTTGGCAAGCTTAAGAAAGATAATGGTAATTGATGAGGCTCTATCTTGGATGCGTAGAATATTCACAGCTTTAGTTCATGACCTAGCTAACGCTAAGCCCGCACTTTGAACAGGTCTACAGTAGAATAGCCATATCGAAGTAATCATACGATCGCTAGGTATGATCGTAGACTGTCATATGCTACTGTGATCATACAGAGAAATAAACCCTTGAGAAAATAATGATGAATGACAGACAAGGCTCTGTCTGGGACGTGTAGAATTCACTACTTTAGATTATGAGCTAGATGAGCTAAGCCCACCTTTTGAACAGTTCTACACTAGAATGTTAATATCAAAGTAGTCATTCGTCTGCCAGGGATTATCATGGAATAAAACTGTAGCATGCTACTGCGATTATGCTGGAGAAATGGAGACACAGTACGATAGAACGATTGGATCCACATTATATCACGTTAGAAAGCTAGAAAAAGACAGCGGTAATTGATCAACGAAGCTCTGTCTGCAACATGTGGAATGGTCGCTGCTTTAGATGATGAGCTAGCTAAGCTAAGCCTACACTTTGAAAATGTCTAAAGTAGATTACTAACATTTAAGCAGTCATGCAATCGACAAGGATTGTCATGGAATAAACTGTACTGTGTTAATATGATCAAGACGTAATAAAAAGCTGTATGGATCATATAGAACGGAGATACAGTACGCTAAAACCATGAACTATTACTGTACGTAGATATATCGAGCATATAGTAGTCTATGGGTAAGAGTATTGGATCCACTTGGCTACATCTATGCTTAGTACTGTATGTCGTCTTGGAAAGCTAGAGAAAGATGAGCTAGCTGCGCTAAGCTTGGTTGATTTTGAACAGGTAGGTGTACAGTAGAATATTGATATCGAAGCAATTATACGATGGCAGAACAATTGTAGTATTCTAAGATGAGCTAGCTGAGCTAAGCCTGGTAATCTTTGAGCAGGTGTAAGCGTACAGTAGAATGTTAGCATACGAATGATTTTTGTTTTCTTAAGTGGTGCAAAGTAGTTTTCTAAAATAGATCTTAAGAGTGATTAGTTAATAAATATTTAGTTCTAAGTACCACTGAGGGCTCTGCGAAGCCTATAAATGATAGTGTAATCGTGAAATTTAGAGTAGAGAGCAAAAGAAGATTCTTTCGAAGAACTTGCTAAATTTTGAAGGCCTTCGGGATCGAACTGTTGTAAGTTAAAGCGTTCTTCTTTTTGTTAGGTTGTTTGGTTGTTGACAGTTTTAGTTCTGTCGTTTTTTTATTTCTTTACTTATAGTACTTAGAATTAAGTATTTAGAAGGTTGTTTGATCAAACTCTCTCACATTTTCTTAATAAATTGTTGATCGGTTGTTTCCCCAATTTTATTTGATGTCAAAGTTTCGTTAAGTCGGCCAGAGTGCAAAGAAAGTAGAATCAAAGTTTGTTAGAAGTTTAGTAGCTTGATTCTACACTTTTCATTCCATTACAGTTATGTGCCAGTGATTACTGTAATATCTAGAATTTGTTTAATGCATATTCAGTGGTCAAATAAAGTTGTCGCATTGTTATTACAGTGATTTTAACTCTGCATTATTATCTAGTGTAAATAATGCAATTAATGCCTTGATTGATGCCGAAGGACTTTGATCGGATTCATTTATGTACAGTAATTAACTTCGGTAATTAGGGCCATCTATATAGCCATTTACGGTATGTTTTGTAGTATTGCAAATTTATTTCTATGCTGCGTACAGGAATAATTTTTAGTTATTATCTTGGATAGTCAACGAAGCCCCATTAAATGGATAGAGATAGCTGTGGCATGAATTGAAACGAATATTTACCGTAGCATAAAACAAGTCGTTTCTAAAATGTCTTCCCTATATTTCCAGATTAATCTTATATATCCGCACATTCAATGCTTAGATCAATATTAACAGAGTTACGTACTGGCAAGTTAGGTCTGTACGTGCATTTATCGCATTAATTAGTGTGTGCAAAAGCCACTATGAAAGTGCTAACTAGGTTGCAAGATAAATCTTTTTGACCTATAGTGGAATACTATGTGTGTATCAAGATCAATCTAATAATAGTATATGTACGCGACGCATCGCGAACGGGATTAATTTATCAGTTTTTAATAACGATGGAATACGACATGATATCTATTTCTTACCCCAACGATGATCTAGATTTAATGGAGAGCAGATGACTGTAATTTTGCTATCGGTAATAGATGTTTCAGAATTTAAAGAATTAGATATTCTAGACGTTTGTTTAGCATAAAATGTCGTGTATCTGTAGTTATAAAGAAGAGAAAGTACGTAATTTTTAATAGACATCCACATTACCAAGTAATATGAATATTTGAATTTACTAATATGAGCATTAATTTTCAAATTTGAATTATTACACTTGTTTGATCTCTAAGTAAACCCATTTTAATAAATTACCATTAACTAATATACAGCAAAGTATGAAATACGTCGAAATAATATTATCGAAGAAAAGTTTATTTACTATAATTAACCATATTCTTCCTGAAAAGTTTCTTAATCAATAACTTAAAAAGTAAATTCCCATCCTATGCACCTTGCTAATTATCCATAGTGTTCTTTAATTTCAAGACATCCTAAGTGAATGAATATTGATGATTTATTGTGATCTCAATAACATTATTTATAGGTAAAGAACAGTAGATCGATGATTGACCTAGCTTTCCAGACAGTATTGCGAGGACCGTATATTAAATCAACCTATTGGATTACGGATGGGTCATAATGACAAGTAATATCTATATTTTCGCTATCTGTCAAATTTCATTAGCGAAAAATTTCTGTTGTTAAGTTCAGTTAATAATCACTACTTTTAGTTGATAATTATATTTCATGATCATATGTAAGATTTGTTGACTCATTTTCTAATACAAAGGTTACTATCAAAATATTGCCACAAATAGAATAATATATGCACATAAACAGGTCATTTTATTCCATATTCATTAGTTCACTTTTGAGATATCATTTATAGCATCGAAATTTTACTTATGATAGCCTAAATGTCGAATTAGGAATAGAGCTCATAGGCAACGAATCTCATTTATTGATATCCTATTAATCCTTCAAAATGTATCTGTGGCTATTGTACATAGGTTTTTCGACATGCCTTGATAATAAAATATTAAGTGTAGTTTGGCTAACTTTTGAAAGCTTGAATGTAGTTGATTAATGAGTTATAGGAATAGATCGATAAAAATGCCTGATAGCCTTGTCAGATAATCAAGCAAGCCAGGATATTAGAGATCCGATAAATATGCCTAATAAGCAATTTTTCAATTTCTAATTTGAACAAGCTAGTTAGTTTTGTTTATTTATGAGCTGTTTATTAAATATGATTGTGTTTCTAGTATTTCTCCTAATCGGTAACAAACTGAGAATAATATTAATATTGATACTATGATAGTACTTCAAGTGTCAAGACTGATAACACTGCAAGGAAGAAAAAATAATCTGCGGCAAGATTGAATATTAATCAGCATAGTATTGAGTGAATGATATTAAAATACACAGGAACTATCGAAAATATGCAAGTAGCTGCCAGATATATCTTCCATCAAAACTCGTGACTATCAAACGATATGATTTCTAAATCACTTTGTCAGAATAAAAACTATTATATATTAACTAAATTGCTGTTGCCTACGCCTATTGACATATGGAAATAGTAAATAAACAAATAATTGATATTAATCAGATAATCCAATTAGTTGATCATTGTATGATTCTGCATTAGCATTGGCAATTTGTGTTGTTCTTGATTAGTTCAATGTCAAAACATTACCATCCTTTAATGTTATATCATCCAGGTACCTTGGAACAAAATGTGCTTTTATCTATTAAAAAATAAGATCAAAATATTGACTGCATGTAATTATTTAATTACAATTACCAATCAGCTAATCTTGTACCATAGATCAAAATTGCTTGCAAATATTGAAAATATGCCGCACTTTTAGACAATAATTGACAAGCTAGATTGAAAAAGGGATAAACTCGAAAATAATGGGTAATGCAATAAATTCTGCAGTTGACCAGTTGAGTCATGATTGCCTATGTTACATTAGGTCATTTGCGTGATGGATAGTATGCCAATTTTACATGAGGTTATAATTTAAAATTTAAATGAGGTAAAATACATTAGCGATCGCTATCCCTTGCACAATAGCTTATGTCAATAAAGTTAAGGATTAGAACTTAAGTTAATTAGCATCGACCAATCAAACAATGTTATTATCGGAAACTGTTTTCTGATGATGTTTATGTCCACGGCATGAATCGATAACGAGTATGATAAATGGTTGACGACCATGAACACATTGATCTTCTGACCCTGAGCAAGAGGTATAAAAGCAATCGATTTTGCTTTTTATCTCATTAATCTCTTCTCTTGTTCCGTATCAGATCGGAGAGGTAAGTTTTTCAAACTAGTTTATAAGGACTTTTTCCTTGCCTATTGAAAAAATATCAGCTGGAATTATTTTAATTATATCTTAAATAGTATACAGTCAGATTAGTATAGTTAATTTTAGCGTTAAATTAATCTAAGTTATTATAAATTACTTTATGAGGTTGAAAAATATCAGCTAGAGTTATTTTGATTCTATCTTATACGGTGATAGTCAAACTGACAAGTTTAATTTTATCATTCAATCAATGTAAGCTATTACCAATTACTTAATGACATTGAAAAAATCAGGTAGAGCTATTTTAGTTCTATCTAATACGATGTATAGTCAAGTTAACATGGCTAATTCTATCTTTAAATTAAGCTGTTACAAATGGCTGTAATTTTATACTAAATAAATTATTTATTTTTTAAATCTGATCGACAGTTAACTATGAAGACTGCCATCGTTTTATTGTCTATTTTCGCCTTGGCTACCGCCAAGGTAAGTAAAAGTAACTTGCAACGCGTTATTCGATGCATTGATAAGTAATCAAGAAACGAATTTACTAATTGATGATTAGATAACTAATTCTTTTTGTCGCCTAATGTATCATTAGTTAAGTGCGAAATAGCGTTAATGACAGCAATTAAACAAATTGATACTATAGAAGATAGTGATACTAATTGGTTTATGTTTGAAATCTTTCTTTTAATTAATTCCTTTTGACCGCCTCATTAACATAAATTAATATCATCATTGTCCTACTCGTCAACGTTATTATGACGATCTTGACCAACATTCCAATGTCACAGTAGTATTTTGAAAGAACATCTTCATTTAGTAGGGCTTAACTGTCACGCATTCATTTTATCATTCTATCTTCTGAGTTTGTTATTCTTTGCAGTTAATCTGATCTAATGATCAACGATAGTATTATTACAGTATGTGCAAATCAAGATTTAAAAAGATAAGTCTGTATTTCGATATTTTTCTTGTCTAAAGACTTCTTAGTTTCATTATTTGATATTCAAGTACAAGCTAACTTTAATTAACCATCGAAATAATATGATCTTCATAGGCAGTCAGTGAGTTACTTATATTCTCGTTATCTCCTGACTGAAATTAATTTTCACCCATAATTTATTCATAGCATCGTTGTAATTATATATTGCTAATGATGCAATTTTACACTACTAATACATATAGTGAAAAGCAATCTATTGAAGAGGGTGCATTAAGAGAGAAATATTGCGTTGCTATCGACTAGATAGTTGCCATGATTAAACTATGCACTTAGTGACAATATCGTTTGTTTTTGGTATTTATTTTGGATTGAAGAATTTAATATTAATGATATTTTGTATAACAGTAAAAATGGAATCATGTGATTAATGACTGATATACTGCTCAAACTAGAGGCATGATTTAAAATAGTAATCCATAAGTAGAAAACTATCCGCCTGATTATTGTGAATCAATTCAATGATATATTAACTATGCAGTATTTCAATGATGACTCATGATGATTGTAGTCATGGATGCTGTCGATATTCTGCACTTTATTTTAATTCTAGACTAGCACGTTGATTACTATCGTTATTGAATGTTAATTTATCCATTCTTGAAATTTTTATCTCCATATTTGCCGACCTGCTCAAATCTTATTTCAATATGATTGGTGCCTGGCCTAATGGTTCATTTAGCCTGAACCCAGGAATGCTAGAGGTAAGTTATCTCTCATCCATTATTTTATTCTATGCCCTGCATAATTTATTTGAAAGGGAATAAATCTATTGAAAGCCATTACTACTGATCTTCATTTTGATTTGATCATGATTGCGATCTGATAGAATAATAAGTTTTATTTTACCATTTTTAAAACTGATGATTACATTGTTTTTATTTCGTCTATTTCAAATTGTACAGCTACTTGCGGTTCTACTTCCTACGCAAAGAGCGGCACCATCGAATCTCCCAGCTACCCAAGCAACTATCCTAGGAGAACTGACTGTACCTCTACCGTTGTTGCTTCGAGTGATGAAGTTGTTACCGTTACCTTCAGCGAGTTTGATGTTGAATCTGCTACCAACTGCAAATATGATTACGTTTCTCTTTATGATGGTAATACCCTTAGGCACACCTACTGCGGTAAAGGTAGCGTTCCTACCTTCACTACTTCCCCTGGTTCTAACTTCGTGTTAACTTTCCACACTGATGGATCTGTACAGAAGAAGGGATTCGCTCTTAGCTTCACCGTTACTAGTAAGTTTAAATTATCCTATCATAGCGAGATGGATAGGGTATTAGCATACAACCAGTAGGATAAGTTGGAATTATCATTTTACTCATGTAAGATAGATAGTGTGATTATTATCGTAACGACGGCAGTTGTTTGTCATTGATATCGCTACGATGGCTTAACTTCATCGGAGATCGGCTTTATTTCATTTAGTTTGCTCATTCACTAATCTATCCTGCTAGAATAGCTTGATCTAAGAATCGATTTAACGTTAAGGCAATTTTGGATAGCTACTAGTGTATCAACGTAACACTTGCCAATCTTGTTAATCTTGATTGGCTATCGGTAATCCAATCATAAGAACTCGTTATCGTTGTTCATGAATGAAGATTGATTGGAGTCGATGAGTCTATCTTCAATGATCATGTTAATTTTTATTCAGGAATTGGATATTCAACTCATGTTAATTTATGCCTATAATTGATTGATTCTTCTTTTACTCATGCCATAATTAGAAGTTGCTGCTCCTACTGGTAGCACTACTGGCACTGTCAGCACTGGTACTTATAACCCAGGCACCTGTGGTAAAACAGCATATAAACTATCCCTGACCGACCGTATCGTTGGTGGTGCAGAATGTAGCCCAAAACATGCCCTTCCATGGCAAGTATCTCTCCAAACCAACACTGGCTTCCATTTCTGTGGTGGTTCCATCATCAGTGATAGATATGTTGTTACTGCTGCTCACTGCGTTGATGGACAAACTCCAACCTCCTGGAGAATTGTTCTTGGTGCTCACAACATCGGAAGCAATGAACCTAGCCAATTTGTTGCCACTGTCAAGAGAGCTAAAATGCATCCTAGCTACGACACCAGTACCCTCAGCAATGACATTGCTATCATAGAATTAAACGAAAAAATCACTTTCACTAATGAAATTTCCCCGGTCTGTGTATCCAAAACTAGAATTGCTGATAATGCAGACGTCATAGTCTCTGGCTGGGGTACTTTAACAGCTGGTGGCGCCTCGCCTGATACCTTGCAAAGAGTAATCGTTCCTACGATCTCTCGCTCTGAGTGTAGCTCTACAGTCTATGGCACAGGTTACATTGATAGCACCATGTTGTGCGCTGGTCTTATGTCTGGTGGCAAAGATTCCTGCCAAGGTGACAGTGGTGGCCCACTTGTTCACGATCGATCTGGTACCTACTACTTGGAAGGTGTTGTCAGCTGGGGCTATGGTTGCGCCGATCCTAACCGTCCAGGTGTTTATGCTCGTGTTTCCAGCTTGTACAGCTTCTTGGAAACAGAAACCGGTCTGACCTTCTAAATACCTGCTTTGGATATCCGTTCTATCAACTCTAAAACGCAAATATGATCAATCTATACTTCATCGATCATGAACACTGTAGAATTGTAGTTGAAAATATTCATTTTTCTTATGTAGTTGAAAATCAATTAGCATTTATTACGTTTTGTAACTATTGCAATCAATAAAATCGAAATCAATCGAACAAACGATCAAAATTTCTTTCCCTTGAATGAAATGATTTAGTCTTTTACGATTAAATACAGCTTATGATAATCGATGACGATAATCAATCGCACTAAAAGCTCGTTGTGTTTTATCATCATTAGTATCCATCTTCTACTTTATAGTATCATAAGTTAGGATAGTTCTATACTGGATTGTTTTGCAAGGAATACCTATTTATCATGGTATTATCGTGGACAACATTGAATAATTAGATAGTGCTTACTTTATGATTGGTATTAATGCAAACAATCATCAATAAAACTAGTATTGATATGGCAAGTTGCTGTGGTATCCAATTGTTTGTGGGATATGGATAATGGATAGTTTAGAAACTAGTATCGTAGTGATGAGTCTAATCTCTTGATCAGTATTTCTACCCGATGTCTATCACGAACTAGATCAAAAAGCAACCTTATGTGGATACGAATAACTGTGTTCATCATGTGTAGTACAACTCCTAGAATAGCTTAATAGATTGTAGGAAGTCGCCAAGTGATATGTAAAAATAAAAGATAGACACTGTATGTGCTAGATTGTAGATTAACTGGAATCGCAAGATTGTGTTAAGTGCGTATCTGCATTGAATAGTTACAGTAGATATTGTAGCTCGGGTTGGCAATCTTTTATTAAGGTGGTTGAACACCAGAGATTATGTCAGTAATTTGATACTAAATCAATCAGAAATTATAAATCTAAACATAGTTGGCTCACTATGAAAATGATCCGGCTAAAGTTCAAACTAAGAGCTAAAGGATTAGAATTTTGCGCTTTAACCGGCTATGCCAGTAATTTAAGTAAAATGTAAATCATACTAACAGATTTTATAATTCCGTGGAAGTGATTAGTGACATGCTGAAAGCATGAAACAGATTTTGTTTTCTTTAGCAAACAGAGGTTCATAATTATTAAACTGCCGTACTCTGTATGCTCCTACTTCCGACTTTAACCTATTTTATGATCGATATAAGCAGGAGATTACTTCTGATAGAGCTAATTTATTCTTATTCTTGGTTAAAGAAGTAGTTTATATAATAAAATGCATATGATAAGTTATCAAATTTGGATCATTTTCTGATTTTAAGACACTTTATCATACCATGATATTGTGATAGGATGAGCTTGAAATGCCAGTCTATCCACTAATAACTAGTTAAATTTATTCTATTGACTATTTCTAGGCATCTATTAAAGTTCTAACTTACTGGAATCAATCCTTAGCCGGATGATCGTTAGTATCAATGTTCTAATCAATGATATCATAAGTTAGGATGTTCTACACTAGAGTTTGTAATAGAAGATACCTGTTTCTCATAGTATCATAGTGGATAATATTGGATAATTTAAATACAAGATTGCTTATTTTATGATTATTGTAAATGAGAATAACACAAGTCATCAATAAAAATTTTGATAGAGCAAGCTGTTGTGGTATCAAATTATTCGTAGGATATGGATAGTTTATAAAGCAATACTATGGTGATGCTTTAATCTCTTAATCAGTATTTCTATCCGTTGCCTGTTATGAACTAGATAAAAAAAAGTAGCCAAATGTAGATACGAATAATTCATATTTATCACCTTATGATGATAGAATAAGCTTGAAATAGCAGCCTGTTCACCAGTAACCTCGTCAAAGTTATTCTACTGATTATTTCTAGGCACACTAGAATCAGTCTTTAGCCAAATAAATTCATAAAATAGAACTGAAATAAATTCTATTTACAGAGTTATTATTATCCTAACTAGGTAAAAATGGAAGCTGGTACAATGATATTTTACGGTACTTGAGCAGTATAACGACAAAGTTATATCACACATAGCTGGACATCCTTTCTTTCACTCTGATAATTCGTAAGTTAGAATTCTACTAGAGCATCTCACGCTTAATTAAGCATTGCAATATCCTAGGTCGTAAACGATAAGCAAAATAGTTCAAAAATAAATTATGACGGATAAAATAAAAAGAACTATTATTGTTGTCACATCCACAGAGAAATTATTTTTATACTATAGGATAAGTTCAAATGAGACGAATAGTTTCATACCTACTGTAACATTATGATCTTATATAGAAGATGCCTAGTATAGTAATATCCTAATATACGAATACTTATCATATACCGTTTAAGTACTGTATTGTATTACATTCATAATGTACGACATCATGACTACATATAGACGACATGCTATACATATAAAGACATTATCTCAATCCCATCTAAAACCTATAAATACCCTTGTACGCTAACTCGCTAGTCAGTTCCTACATTCCTGCTATCTCAAATACCTTATCTATAACAACCATATCATTGTTAGCCTGTAACTTGTATCTCAATAAAATCCTTTATACCGTCTATCATCGTCTACCTTAAAATACTTTACGCTACTTAAAGAAGATATTATTACACCTACATTATTTAATTAGCTAAATTAATGTAAGAGCGGGCTATATCTTCTGATTTACTTTATCATTGAGGTACCAAAAATGTCTTGTTGATTGATAACAATTAAACTACACTATGCTGTTTATTTAACAATATCAAAATGTGATATTGAAGGCAAAGTTGGACTAGAATTTTACTGAAACTAACAATTAAGTGTATTAGAAAAATATTGGAATAAATGTCAGCAATCAATTTTAACTTCCTTATTCAATATTCCAATGAAGTAGCGGGAATCAACTTGAATTGATCGATTTATTAATGGATCAGAATGTATAAGACTACTTGATTGATATGATAATTGCTGAGTAATATCTGACAGGTCTATCAAATGGTAATACTATCTGTTAAATGAGCACATTATCGTAAACCGTCAGCAAAGCGACGGGAGTTTGCACTAGTTTCCTTGAAGTACGATTAAAGGATTGTAATAGATGGCTCTAGCCGGGTTGAGATTACTGACTAAATGTCACAAACCAGCTTCGTGACAAGGATAACGTAAAACAAATCTCTATATTACTATAGTCTCCGGGATTCAGTATCCCTACTCACAAGAATTTAGACGCCTTTGATTCTACGTTAAACTCAACTAGACAATTGAGAACTGCTTCATTCAACTATCTAACGGGCTTATATACCCTTCTACAGCAGCTAACATTCACAAGTCATCTTATAAAATACTTGGATGAGAACATCTACTAACTAGTTTTTCACAGTCTGACTACAATATGTCCATTCACAGAATCATTTCAGTACACATTACAGCACAGCAATAAATTTACTGTAACACATTTATAATTAGAGTAATTCCTATTGTAAGGAACTAGATGTAATATATTATCACTATATTATATTAACCAAATTTAGATAACCATTTCTTCACGGTAGTTCGTACCGTGACACTAAAGCATAGAAAAACAAATGGTAACAGCAAATTCAAGTTCATAACTATATGACTAATATGGTTATCAGTAGTTTACTTGAGTTTATTAGAAAATGATCGAAGCTGACCGCAAGAATCAACTCTAGAATGATTAAAAAGAATTGGCATAGATAGCGATAAATAGCTCAATTCGATGTTTTATTGATCATAATACGTAGCAGCAATCAATTTATAGAAATACTCGAGTGAATAAAATTCATTTTAATATCTGTTCAGTTAATTAGGATTGGAATCGATATTAGTAATCCATACAACAAAGTTGATAATTATAGGATTAGCATAGATAGTAGCAAGCTACTCTGGTCCATTAGTAGAGAATCCAAATAGATAGTAATAATCAAATATAGGAGTGACTACAGAACCATAACTACGGGTAAGGTTGATGATCAATTTAAGGAATTAAAATGGATAACAGTTATCCATCTATCGTAAATGCTACGATGGAAAATACTTTATTATAACATCCTCTATATTCATTTTTAGCTGCGGTAATGATATCTATTAGCCATTTTATATTTTTTCTTATTCAGTTTGTCCTTTTTGTCCATGCAACTCATTCCATAAAAGATTTTGTCTATCTTATTTATTAATGCCAACTATCAGGAATGTCTAAACTTCGTTTTAGTAACATTCAATAATGATAACATTGTAATTATGAACGAAGTTACTAAAAATAATTCAAATAGAAAAACAGGATGATGATGCTGCATGATAATACTTGCATTTTTAGGGTAGCGAATAATTGAAAATTATAACGGATTAACTGAATCAATTCTTTACGGTTTAAAAGAATTAAGTAATTTATAAACAGCAACATATCTAATACGATATCGAAACTAAGTAAAGTCCACGAAAGGCAATTTATCTACATTCATTGTAAGTGTGTAATATCGAATTAATGTAGTTTATGGGCATAATCAAAGATTAATTTCTGATTGATAAACATCGGATATCGAAGATGATTGCCTAACTCTCTCAAATTACTCAGTATCTTCACATTAGTTCAATATAGCTGATCCTATTTATTTCAGAATTAAACATTTACAAGGTTATGCGTTTTACTTGCTAGCACAATTTATCTAGTTTGACTACAAAATATTTTATTTCTTACTAAAGAATACCAAAATCAAAATTAACTAGTAAACATATATAAAATGGCTGGCATTCTTTTACTTAATGAAAGCCTTCTGCTATTCCATGATTATCGATAATCTACAGTTTTGACAGTGATTTCTGCAGATAAACTCTACCGTAGAAGATAATTTAGAATGTTTTATTAAATGAACATTCCGTCCATAATCGGCTCATTCAGCCAAAGATTGACTTGAATCCATTAACAAAGTTGTAGAGGATAAAGAAATAAGGTTTGCTACTAAGATATTGAAATTCCAGCTCGATATTTGCATGAATTCTTACTATACCCGACATCCTATAATTTATCGGCTATAAAAATAATACGCATATAGTTATCATTTTTCTAGTATCTAGAAAATTATAATAATTAATATGTTCTCGAATTGATAGGCTACAAATATCAAAATTTAATTGATGCATCACTAATTAAATGAGTGATGGCAAGCTAACAAGATTATTAATTATTGCAGATCCAATTCTAAAATGAGCGTATGCATTCTAATATGAGAAAATATTTTAACAAATCTACTTAATGTCTTAAATACTTAGAGGGATAACATTACAGAATTTTAAACCTTAATTAGTTCAGAAATATTAACTGATAAATTATAAATCAAATGCAAATTTGAAGAGCATAAATCCTATGACAGGCTACAGTCATGCCTTAACAATACCTGATCTTAATTAAAATAAATAGGCTATTAATGCTAGAAGTCATTACTACTCATCAATTTTGTACTTACGAAATTTAGAACGCTGACTATGGCCGGTGTTGCTGAATTCTGATAGAGATATAAGACGCGGCCGCGGATCAATTTGATTTCTAAATCGTCTAGATGGCTGATATATGAGTAATGATAGACAATAACAATAATAAGATTACTTATTCATAAATATATCCGGTACTTAATGCGTTTATTTCTTCAATTCGAATTGAAATTTTGATGCAATGATTAAAAAAATACAATAATCTTATTCAAATACCAACAGATTCTACTTTTAACACTCAATTATATCTACTACAGTATATAGTCCATTAATTAGCCTATCAAAGTTTTGTTCATTTAGGCGTATATCGAAATAATGTTTGTAGGCGATGATAAAAATGTAATTAATGATCAATTTATAGCTTAGACTTTGTAACTGGTGATTAGTTATGATTGATATTAGGCTATGCCATAGACTGTCAATAGTTATAGCAGATATACAAAATGTTTTGTTAGTAATAACGAAATGATGACTTGAAAAAATTTTATAATAACTCATAATTAGAATATCAAAATAATTATTGTTTGTAAAGATTTACTACCAGAGCATAATGGATAGACAAAGATGATTCAGTTGCAGATTAGCATCATCTAGTTCTATCTTGTAGCCAGCCATTAAACACGGATATTAGCTATCGCAAATTTATTCTTCAGCAAGCCAGAAGGCTTTTTGTCATAACTCAAATAATTAGCCAACAGTTGCTTGATAAATAATTGACATAGTACTCCATCTTTACCTATTCTATAATTATCATCTATACTGCCAATTATATTTAATCTTACCTTGGATAACAGAGCAATAGATGAAGAGTGTTTTGCTGTTAGGTACTTGTCCTTCATCCTTTTGTAACCCATTTTAACCTGAGTTAAAAATTGTAATAAAAATCTCTAAATACTACGCTGAGTTATATTTTCTGGTTATTTTCTTTAGTTCTAGGGATTATCCTACTGCAGATCAGTATAACGTTTTTCCGGGTGTACATACTTCTGAGTTCATTAAGCAGTGGAAAATGAATATAAAGCATCCCTGTATAATTATAGACATTATTACAGATTATGAGGACGTCCATATTATTATAACCTAATTGATTCTACTAGCGTGATTTATCTTTCTAGCACTAAGGTTATAGAAAAAGGTAATATTTAACTGTTTCTAAAACAAGACATTACCTGTGAAGAATTTAAGATAACAAAGATATAGCTAAATAGAATAGAATATTTGTCCGTTGAAAATATTCCAAATATCCAAGTTAATCCTAAGATTGGAAATAGTATTGCAAAACCTTTGGTAGCTGTCCTATGAAGATAAATTAAAGCGATTCAATTGGATACTAAACTTTATTCGCTGCAGTAAAATTAGTTTTATTTTTATTTTTATGATTTCTGTAAATTAAATATTAATTAAGTAAATGATGTACATTATATACGCTGCTTTAAGATGAATCTTTGGCAATTATAGGTTAAATTTAGCTTGAATTTACATGAATAATATTACATAACACTCAACATATGGAATACAGTATCAATGCTAATTAAATACTTTGCTAAATATAAATGTTCGTATTTATATAGTCTGGTTTATTCATAAAATTGCTTGCTGCTCATTAATATTGTTAGTGTTTATTTGCATTAATTAGGATATGAGAATACTGCTAGAGAGTCCACTACTTCAGCTAATAATAGCATTTCATTTCCAAGGTTTGAGGATTAATCACTAACTTTATTTGCCGCAATTTTTCAGATTCTTTATGATCGACCATATTTGAGCTAGCGGATTTTATAAGCGTAATTCTGATTACAATAAGCGCAATTATCCCATTAATCTGCAAAAGAACAAATTTTACAAACTAGATTAGCATACTAATCTCTTTAATGGTTAAAAGTGAAAAGTCTTACGAACACTAAAGAAGCAATTTTACTTAGAATAATCCATTTGACATGGTTTTATAATTCTATTTTATCCTATTTACCGAGATAACGAGAATAAGTGGTCCAACAAACGCCCAAATAAGACCATTTGCAGTTGATAACCAGCAACTAATCAAGGGCGGAAAGCCGATCAATTAGTATATAAATTTAAATAAATATTAGACAAAGAGATAATTTGAACTTACGTGTTATTTACGCCATAATTATCGTAGCGGATAGCAGTGGCGACTCCCACAATTACAGCGGGGATGCCTAATATCATTAAGTTATTCAATTACCATTAATGCTATAAAGACAGAAATCTTTGCCCATGTCTTGGAGGCAATAGCCTTACTCAAATTGATAGCATACATACTACTACTGTATGTATTTATAATTAAAACAGGGTCAAATAGCCAATAATTATACATATTTACCCCATCCAATTATATAATACATCCAAATTTTATCTTTCTGATGAAAGACAGCTACAATCTGCATATAAAGATGTAGTCCTTCGGCTAGCATCCAGCAAAATGCAGCTAAAAAGAGATAATGCATGGAAATGGCAACTATTTTGCAAGCGATCTAGAACCAATAGTATCATGATTAATTGTTTTATTAAGGGTTATAGTATAAATGGAATAAAGGCTTTGATTGAAGAGACTCATTTATTCAGACTCATTTTATTCAGGATATCAAATTAGAACTTGATGTGTAATGCGACTATTAATTTATGTACCGCAATGGTTGTAAAATTTTCGCTGATTAATAATTCTGACTGAGCGAGCATTAAAGCAATAATTAAATTGCTATGGATAATATATCGTCTTGATCGCAGTCTAATATAAAGATAAGTAAGGTTAGATTATAATTACTAGCGTGGGTTGTCCTAATTTTAATTAATATGCATAAAGATAGAGATTACTTGAATTACCTAAGTATGTAAAATACCAAAAGTGTTACTAGCGAGGCTGACAAGGAAGTTCCAATTCCAATGTAGGAAATTAGTTTCAAGTTGTAGGTATGTGTAGCAGATACCTGAAAAGTTATAGTCCGTAGTGATGTTCAAAATGAGTTAATAACGCCATACAATGAGTATATGCTATCGTTGCATATTACTAAAATTTATAGACAGCTCATCTCCCAAGTAACCTCCGCAATTTGATTTGCGGCAGAAGATATGATATACAGTAATCAAATTTTATGTTGAATGTTAGTTAAAATAATCGATTTTCTGATTGTAAGCGGTATTTATGATTAAGCTAAAATATCATAGGCCCATACTAGTCTGTTTTACTAATTACTGCTGCCAATAATAAAGGAGATCTTGGCTTGGGATACTGAATCACTTATAAAAATGCAGCGTTTATATTTTGTTAACCAAATGCAAGATACGATATTCTCGCCATGTAACTCATGAACCATACAGTTTACGCTATTAATACGTCGATATAATTATTGCTATCGGCCTAGTGCATCTTAATATTACTTACAACTGATTATAAGCTTACCGGTGTAGTAGAAATCCGAACCAAGATAGCAAAATGGGTTAAGTGATTGCATTGGCACTTTGTATGACTACTGTTGGTAGAAAGGACTTGACAGCCTTCATTAGACCAATATCCCGAATTTGAAGACTTCCTAATTATTAAATACTTGCTAGTATTAGCGTTAAATTGTGTCTTTTACGAAGAAACAACAGTAAATCCATATTAAAATATGTGTAAAAGAGTTAATGTAAGTAGTCCAAAAATGAAACTACGAGTATATCAGCTTAGTTATCAAGACTATTCCACAAGATGAATCTTTTGCCAAGCTTACTGGTTAGGAAGTAGCCAATAGGAACAGGAAATTTGTTGTTTGGAAAAGTTAGCCTAGACATAGGGATGTAAAATTAGCCATCTAGAATTGAACCCAATGCGTATGCATTATATGATTTAGTTCCTAATCTATCTGTTAAGACGTGAGATGATCATGCCATATTGGTTTATTTGGAACATATTTCTAAAACAGATAATTTATGATGATTTCATCATGATATATGATACCATAATTAGCCTCACAAAGTTTGAGGCCATTAGCCTTATAGTCATATAATATGATAATGTTATAGGGAAATCTGTTATGCTTAGGTTAGTAAACTTTGACTAATTGTAATCTAATTTCTATACACCAGCTCTACAATATCATATTTAAATCTCAATAAAATATTAATACTTAGCATTAAATTAATACTAAGGTTCCTTTAAAGTTTGGTGGCTAAAGTAAGTAAGTACCGAAGTAATAAATATTTAATCAACTGTGATATTGATCTTTAGGTCGATAGGTCAAGTATCAAAATAGAATAAAATAACATATAGCACTAAAGCAAACGCGTAGCTTCTCGTGCAATTAAAGAATAAATTTATGTCCCTAAAATACAATTCTAGGGCAATTGAATGCTGTAAATAATTTTTATATGGACTAAAATTGGAGGTCTTTTAGTCTACAAAATGAAGCTCTCAGACAGTTAATACAGTTGGTCCTACATGTAAATGCGACACGTAGAATGTAAACGGTTGATTATCCGATAGAGCCAATTTGGGATAAGCGCTGCATATAATGATTGGTGAATTAAGAATCCAACGATCTGTTGAGCTGGAGGATGAACTATTTAGCCTTGAAAATAGTGGAGTAAAGGTGGATAAAAAAAATTAAATCTGGGTATATTAGCAAAAACGGAAATGAAAAAATATTATAATAAAAGTATTAAATATGGTTAAAGGTGCTGTATAGTTGGGTGAGTAGTTTCAAAAGAATTTAAAAAGTATTGATGCTTTGAAAGAAATTATTAAACGGTTCTTGCTTGCTGATTACCTTTTTTCCGTAAATTCATCACGATAGTTTAACAGTTTAGGAAAGGATCGAAAGATACCATAATTAATAGCAACCTTGGATGGCACTAAAGATGATATGATTAGGAAAGAAATTGATGCTGTTATAAACGAGAATCCTAGAGTATCGAACATGTCGCTGAATAATTAAGCTATCAAATTTTAGTATTATATAAAAAATTAAATGGTTGAAGGATAGTACACTAATATTTATGGCTATGTGAATTATGTTCATATACGCTTTGTCAAATTCTATTTCTAGGTAATTTTAAAAAAAATGAGAAGTTTAATTAATGGATTGTAACTGAAAACATTTAATTCGCAGTAGTCGGTAATAATAATACGCAATTAACTGAAGCTAACCTCTTAGAGATTTTGCAAGTTGCAACTTATTTCCAATGCGGTGCGAAGAACTTTGGCCCGCCGAATAGAAATATTTGATATATCCGTGCGTTTCAAATTGATTTTGATTATAGATACGCAGATCTAATTCTACAATAATTTAGCCAAGTCATTTTTAGTAAGAAAAATTAGCAGAACTATTTCTTGATTCTTATAGCAAACACTTTTTATTAATTATTACAAATTTACCTGAATTAGCTGATTTTTGATAAAGTGCTCTGCCTGGATCCAGGGAAGAGGCCATCAGATCAACTATTCCATGACTAAGAGTAAATAATTGACTAGGGCTGCGTTTTTTCTAATTTGGATAAAATAATTTTAAAATCATTTAATCTCTTTTTAATTGATTACGAATAGAATTTAATTTATCCGTATTACAAACAGCAAAGATAAAAAATTAGATGATTTATTTGCTGTCTAACATCTTGATAAATTTGTTGCCATATTTTCCGATATTTTGCGTCCATTAGCTGATCGAGAATATTAACGTTGTTCTACGGAAGAAATAAAAGTCGAATTCATCAGTACTTTGATTTAATCGGTACTTTAATTAATCTACAGCTAACGTTAGCTATTAAGTAAGTGCTTTTAACTCATAAATGTCTAATCTCTAATTTTACTATTTCCTTAGAATTATATTCAGTCCTGTTTATAGCGATCTTAGCCAATCTCAGTTCTATCTGTATATCGCATTTATATTTAATATTGATACTAATTTTTTTTTAAATGTAATAAAGTATTACCAAGTAAAATTGTGTCCTATTATCCCAGTTTGCTCGTTTCAGATCTTGACTATCAATAAAGGTTTGGATATCTTGCAAGATATTGGTAGAGGAAATCACATCAGCTTTCGTTATTACCGATTTGAGTGAGAAATAGAGAGCTAAGTCGTCCATAATTTGAGTAGCTTCAGTAAAGGCGATCGGATGGTCTAGATTGTTCATCTATAAATCAATTTAACGACATTTCGTTATTAGTATATTAACTTGAGATGGTTTACTTATTACCCTAATGTCAGTTACGTAATTCATTTTTCCTACCCGTTGCTGTATTTCTTGAATCGATTTTTGAACCACGGGCTTTTTTGTAATTAAATTTGCGGAACTGGTTGGCGCTTTAACGGTCGAATTGGCTGAGTTATTCACTAAATCATTCAAGTTTACCGTAGCATAATGACAGGGTAGAAGTTATAAATTTTCAATATACGTAAGTAATTGGATAATTTATTCATCTATTAGCATAAGAATATGGATGATACAAAAATAGATCTAGTTACATAGTATACGATAGCAATACGTAGTTTATCCTAAATTTGCCCAAGCGGTTTTGATTTTTTTAACACTATTTTGTAATGCATATAATATGTTGATTTGGTATCTTTCTCATTTAGGTTGGGATATGTATTCAATTTAATGCTGTAATCTGTAATGTCGTTCCAAGTGCAAGAATTTACTACTAGTATTTTTAGAAAGTGAATAATTAATTTTTCAAACAAGTATAAACTGGCCTATAGAAGAGATGGCACTATAGTCGCCATGAATTAATCTACAATATTTTGGTATTTTATTTTTACATCGCAAGAGTAAAGATTATTGCTGAAAATGTATTCGTAGATACAAATAGCCACAGCGCTTTAACATAGCTTTTCGTAACTAATGTTGGAAGATGCAACTGCATTGATGGTTTTAAAACTGTATGAAATAATGCCAATTTTTCAATCGAATCGCTGCACTTGATATAGACGTATGCAGCTAGAAGTATCTACAGGTTGCTAGGGTTTCATAACGTCCTAAGGGCTATTTCAGCCACAATTACACTCGGATATTATTAGCTAGATCGATTTCCATCTCTGTAATGATTATCCTTCTTAATTGATAGCTTTAAAACTGTATAATATGTAGCCTGAAATATACCATAAGTTACTAGAGTTTCGTAATATCCTGTAATATGGATTATTTCACTCACATTTGCATCTCTAGAAATTGTCAGCTAGATCAATTTCCATCTCTGTAGTTATATCCTTCTTACCTAAAACCTGTGTAGTAGGCTTGATGGTTGTATATTGATTTTTAGTTGGCGTTGCTACATTGCAGATTTTAAAAATTCCAAATGAGTATGAAATTGATCTCTTGTTGACTAATTCATTCTATTAATTCTTACGTTTTTCAGAACTGGGCTTCGAGGGCGTTGCATAAAAATTAGTAGCTCGGCTGCTACGAGGCGATGGCCTAGAGATAACAATAAATTGCCTAGCAGTGGATCTCCGGAAATGGGTAGGTGTTATTGGCGTACGCGTTGTTGGTTTATTTG